TCTGCCTCCGCGGGGTGAGCGGCGGCTGCAGCTCCCAAACTTGGTTGGCCTAGTGGTGAGGCTTCCCCCATAAACCTCAAGTGCTATTAAAGAAGAAACATTATGGTCGGAGCCAATGACAGCGACTCCGGACGACTCCATTTAAGCTTTTGTGGGAGGGAGCAAGTTAACTCGCTAAAGCCATCGAAGAAAAGCACATGTAGGGTTTGTAATAACCCACGATGTTATGTGTCAGCAGAAGCAGAGAAGCATGCTCAAGTTCACAGGTAACTTGATGATATTTAGAAACTTAACTGCAGACTTGCAGTGTTACCAGCATAAATGGCCGTGAATCAGATACCAGATTACTACAAGCTCCTTTTACAGGAGCCTTTTGGGTAGATTTAGCCAACCTCTGATTTAGTAAGGAATGAGAGCATCGACAAGGTAGGTGTTGCAGATCAGGACCTCAAAGAAGACCCCAGAGTTAAAATGGAGACCTGCAGGGTACTGTAGCAGAAGTTGGTGCCTGGGAAGTGTGGATGAAAAATACATACCCACTGGGTGCAAAGCTGTGTACAGGTAGTCAGTGGAGACTTGAGGTCGCTGGGGTGCGTGTGGAGAATGCAGACAATTAAGTTTTTCTTGTACTATAGTCAAACCATTAATTTGATGGTGGCGTGCTGGCAAAACCCTAGTGTAGTTAAAGCTGAAGAATCTTTGTAATGTACATAAGCTGTCAGAAGCCCTGGAGGTGTCTTCATCCAGCTGAAAACTAAGTTCTCTTTCCGTGGTAGGTGTTTATAACTTTCAAAGAACTGTTTCAGTTTTCTATTGGCAAATGCTCAATCAAAATTGTATAAAACAATGCCTGCAGCCCCCTCTAGAATACAGTTATATTCCTTCTTGTTTGCTTTCCTCTAGGCTCTTTCCTTTCCCACTGTTTTCCCCCCCCTCAAAAAAAAAAAGGTCCAGCTTACAAGACAACAGTGAAGAGTGCAGCCATCTAGTAGGCAGCCTCAAGGTCTACCTGTCTGCTGAGCTTTAAGTGTCTGCTGCCTTCCTCTGAAGGCGGGAGACATTCTGAGGAGCACCTTGATTTAACTCATTTGCAAGTGCTCCGTTAGCCTTTGATATCAAAGATGTTACCTCCTGTGTCCTGATTTTTTTTCTGGTGAAAATGGCCCCTGAGTTTCTTAAAAACGTGATGCCAGTACATGTGAAACGTGTCTGTGTAGCAGTGTATTTGTGATACTCTTCAGAGTGTGGAACTGCAGTTCTGCCTAGTTTCTGAGGCTCAGGCAGTAGTTCAAAATGCTGCAGTTCTGTCTGTGTTTAGTGCTTAATGACAGTGTTTCCAGATCTAGCAGTTTTGGGCAAAATAATTGCTCAGTGATCATTCTAGTCAGTTCTGGTGTATTACTGGTTTGGATTTAGGAAGACTTGCCTGGCTGGCTCGTTCTTACATGGATAGAAGTCCTGAGTGGACTGTATGAGGTTTCTGACTCCATACTCTTTTCATAGTAGAGATGGATTAGTCAGAAGAAAAATAATTGTTAGTACTTATTTCTTTTCTCCCTTTTTTTTTTTCTCCTGTAGGTTTTGTTTAGGTTGGATTCTTGGGGAAAGAAAGGTGATGTAATAACTGTTTGTGCTTTCCTTGTAGAAGTATGAGCCTTTTGGCTAGTCTCAGCCACGTGTGGAAGAAGGGAAGTCTTGTGGATGGTTAAGATCATATTAGTTTTGTGACATTCAGCAGCTGGGTAAAGGGATCTAAACTAGCTTTCTGCTGAGAGGAAGCCAAGGGAGAAATCCACACAGAACTTCTGATTTGTCGGTAAACTTTCCATTTGGTTCAGCTGACTTGGGCAACTTGGCTGGTAGCTCAGATGAGCCATGCTTCTGCTGACTCTTGTCTGGGCAGAGTGCAGGAGAGTGGTTAAAAGATAGGAGTGTGGGGATGTGCAGCTCTAGGAAACCAGGCTTTGGTCTCTTCCTGTTTGTGGAGCTTGGAACACTCTGAATTCGTGAGCTTTTAGTAGAAAGCCATGAGATCTGCAACTTCCATGAACTTAGGGCTGCTTTTTTTTTTTGGTCAGAAAGTTAATTCACTTATGTTTGTATTCCTGCACACTTCTGAAGTATGATAGGTTTATTGTGCACATTATACAGAATATTTATAAAGTGCAGTTTAGTTAGAAGTTCTTCATGCAAATAGGGTCTAGCTTTCCAGGGCATTTCCGTGCAACAAACCTGTCTGGTAAACTCAGTTTCTACCAATAACAGTTTCAGTGCCTTTTATTATTAAGTTTGTAAACAGTTGCAGGCTTTAGAAGAAGGGAAACTTGAGGCATAAATTTTTAAGTATTAATTTCTTGGTAGAGATTAAATGAAGAAATGGAAAACTTTGAAAGCTTCATAAGAACTTGGTACAGAACAAGTATAGGTGTTCGAATGGGAAGTTTCACAAATGTAGCTGTAAAAGTTGTATGAAACCCTTAAACTGAAAGCTGTAAAACTAGTCGGAGAGGGGAAATGGGAGCAAAAGCGTTCTGTAAATAATTGATTAAAGTTGAACTTTCTGAAATACTTTTTTTGTTATTTTAAAAAACTCTAAGAAGAGGCGCAAGACTCAAACTTATCTTCAGGTTTTTTCCCCCTAAAGAACATGAAACTTACTCCAAACTTCTTTGTCATTTCAGATGTTGGATGAAAATAACCATCTTATTCAGTGTATAATGGACTACCAGAATAAAGGAAAGACGTCTGAATGCTCTCAGTAAGACCTTCATCCAAATCTACTGTGGACTGAGTGAATTCCTATGTAGATCACCATTCCCGAGTTGTTTAGCTCATCTTGTAGGAGAACTGTGCTGTGAAGAACAGAAAAGTATTGCTACAGATACTATAATTACAGTTTATGGGTTTTTTTATTTGCATATAACTATCAGTCCTGTCACTGAAGTGTCGCAACTTGCCTACTGCAAGTTGATGGCGTAACGATGATGCCCATAAAAACGGGGACTGTATAACCAAGATCTTTTTCCTCTGCATCATAATTACGCTTTGGAAAGAGGTAGTTTTCTTCTCAAACCTTTCAAAATCACGTAGGAGTGGATCTTTCTTCTTCCTGATGGTGTGTTTGAAAAGTACCTGCTTACCACTTGCCCAAGAACAAGCAGGGTTGTCTTACAAGTCTGGCTTGCCAGAACAGCCCGTGTGGACTTGCTGTCTGGTGGGGTCTCTTGAGACTGATCTGAGAGAGCTGTGGAAGGAGTGAATTATTAAGGAATATTATTTTCCCATTGCTCTTTTCTAGCGGGGGATGATCATGGCACCCTTGTAATCAGACAAATACAGGGCCATGTGACACACAGGGCTCAAATCCCTTAACTAAGAGAACTGGTAGCCTGGGAGTAGGAGGGGGTTCGTCAACAGCAGGTATTTTTGCTGTAAGGAAATGCTCTTGTTGTAGCACAGATCCTGTATTAAGCTGTTTGCAAGCCTGTAGTGTGTATTTGTAATCTCTTCCTGATTTCAAGGTTATTTTGTGAGTGCAGGCTAGATGCTGAGACTCTGGAATGTGGTTCTGTAGCAGAAAAATAATTCCATAGTCAACTTCCAAAGCTCTGGGTGCTGATGAAGTGTTTGCCCTGTTCCTGGTCCCGGTTCGCATAAATCTATGATGTCTTGTATCTGGGAATGTAATAAAAGGAGCATTCTTTTCCTAGTATTTGTGATGGAAGTTACACCAAACAGCCACACACACACTCGTATGTCTCCTGGTGGCTCAGTTTGGGGCAGGAAGTGAAACAGGTGAGAACCGTGTCACCCAGCTTTAGATTTTTCATAGCAAGACAAGTTGTAGAGAAGATACAGGCACAGATTTGATGGAGACATTGAGAAGGATGGGGTAATAGTAAGTGCGAGGGAAAAGCTGTAGGATTCCTAATAATGGTACTCTTGTAAATCTCTCTAATCTTCTTTTACGTAGGCAACTTTCTTTACGTGTGTAGAATTAAAGTAAATTCTGATGTTACTGTATTTGTGACTTAAGATCTGTTTTGCTTTTGTTTATTTTGGTAGATACCAGCAGATGCTGCATACAAACTTGGTTTACCTAGCCACTATAGCTGACTCCAACCAGAACATGCAGTCTCTACTACCAGCAGTAAGTACAAAATAGTGTGAAAGTAGGGAATAGATTTCATTTGGGTTCCTGGAGTAAAAAAAGCCAAACCCAAACAGAATTGGTTGAGGTAACGACCAAACATTTAGCCTCTGATTTGCTGTACAGTGAATACATGATGCAGTGTCTGTTCATGCTGTGTTTGGAGCAGTCTCACTGCTTGGGTCTTGCTCAAAATCTGACTCCTTTTAACTGAAGGCTGCTGAATTGAGCGTGCAGAGCACAGATCAGCTGGCCTGTCTCATAGATAGTTTTAGATTTACTTTTTTCCACGCCCCCCCCAGGTGAGAACTCTGGTGGTGTGGCTCATGGCTCCTACAGCAGTACTCTGTTTTTCCTCCTACACTAGGGAGAGATGGGGGGTGGGATTTATTTATTTGTTTTTTAATTTTTCACTGGAATATCATCCTTTCTTTTGCCTCAGTGGAATGAGGTTGGGTACAACTTTGTCTGCTTTTCTGTACTCTAGGTGAGTCTCAAATTCTTTGCCTTGCTCCTCTATCAAAGTAACCTTTTTTAAGGTGGATAATGATAATATGCAAGAAATAAGGTTGCACAGGCTGAACTTGAAACACTGCATTGCTTTACAAATGAAGCATTTTTAATCTGGAGTCTTCTGAACCCGTATTTGTGAACTCTTTCCTTTATAAGATACCTCGAATTTTCCTGCCTTTCCATTGTTTATGGAGCAGTAAGGAAAGATACAACAAACATTAAAATAGCTTGTTATCTGTTTGCTTTTTGGGTTAATCAGAAGGCTTGGGGAGTTTGTTTTGAGTAAGACAAGGAAATCCTTTGTTTTTTTGGTAATAAGACTTTTCTTGAATTAATATAGTCTTGATTCATTTCTGTAATATGAAGCTAAAAAGAATGTCTATAAAGCAACCTTTCCTTGAAACTGGTTTTCACCAACTGAAATTGAATTACTTTTTCTTTGGTCTCTGGAGAAGTGTTCTCCAATCACTGCTGCTAGTGAAGCATCCTTTCCAGTTGGTACCTAGAGGACTATAGAAACAGTGCTTCATTATGGCCAACCTGTTGTGCCTGCAGAGGCTTCTCTTTAAAAATCTGTGCTTATAGCTGAGAGGGAGGACAAGAAACCTTCTAAGAGGGCTGTGTGTGTTACTCAACTAATCTGTTTTTGGAGGTTTAATTCATATCCTGGTTCTGATGACAACTGGAAATGAGTTTGACCTTATCTTAGTCCCTGGTGAACAGCCCTGGTCTTAAAGTGGAATATGATGACATTCTCTTCCTGAAAGAAAATAAGGATAGGGGTGGGGAAGACACTTGCAGGTCAGGACTGAAGTGCATTTCTGATCTTGAACGTAAAGAATGTTCCACAGGAGTGAGTAGATGGTGTAGTGTGGTTTTGTTTGGAGGGAGGGCGGGAAGTCCCCTTTGGGCGACTGAGGGGCAAATAAAAAGGTAGTTGCTTGGGTTTTCTTTCAAACAAAATGAAATTCAGATGTTCAGTCTTAACAAGTGTAGACTCTAACCTATCAAATCAAATCTTTGAAGATTTATCTGAAAGGCGGTAACATAATCAGATAAAATGACTTTTTGTTGGGGTTTTTAGAAAAATATTCTGTAAATTCTTTCTGTCTTACTAACAAATTTTAGCCAGAATTTGGGAACATGTGAGCTACTGCTTTTTTTCAATGCAAGATAAACTACTTCAGCCTCCTTCTCCTTTACTGACTTTCTGTTCAAGAGCTGATGAGGCTGACGTTGGCTCGGCAGTGTTGTGTTTCTGTACACCGTGCTTCTGGGTCAGCTGCTGAACAGGCGTGCTCAATTCAAGGGTTGGGGGTGGCAGCAGTTAAATATGGAGCCAGATACTGTGTGTGTAAACATCTACTATTTTTAATAATAAAATACATCACCTTTGTGATCCTACCACTGCAGCAGCTTCCCACCTAACCTGGGGAGGCTGGAGTCTGGGTAGCTTCTGAAGTTGGATTGTAGTGGATCTATTCATGTCTAGAAGATTTTTCCCCTGGTAAACTGTACTTTTTTTGTTTAAATTTTATCTAGTTTTTGTTTTCATCAGGTAAATACACTTTCAAGAAATTTCACAACTTAACTATTACTTTTTATAAAATGCTTTATGTGATAGCAAGGTTGAAAAGAGAGTACTGCTGTTAAGACAGCATTCACACTGAACAGAAGAGCTAAATGAGCAGGTTCATTGAAGTTTTTAATACAAGCTAAAATGACATGAACCTTGTATCCACTCTCAATATTCTTTGGACTTAATGCTTCATGTCGTTGGGAAAAATGCTTGTAGTTAGCTTCTGTGCCTCTGTCCCCATCTTTTAGAATGCGCTATTGTAATCAAATGACTGTACATCCTTTCTGAGAGTGTGATATTGTAGAGATCAAGATAAACCTTATACTAACCAAAAGTATAGTGAACCAACTGTGTTGTGCAGAGAAATGCTCCTATAAAGGAGCCCTGGAAGTGAGGAAAAGGTGAAAAGGGTGAAGCAAGCGTTGTAGGGCGTGGGTGAAGGGAACTGGAAAGGCTTTGAACTTCCAGTGTCATAACAAAGCTCCTGTTGTCTTGTATGCGTGATAAATTTAGAGTATTAAATGATGGCTTCTGGGGTGAGAGACCTTCCTTCACATGAGAAGACAAAAGAAGTCTGAGGTTAATCTCCTTGAGTCCACCAGTCTTTTTGCAGCCACCTGAGCAGGAGCTTATTAAGGGCAGGGCTGTTTTGGAGTGTCTTCTCAGCTGGACGAGAGCATTGGCTAAATCCGTGTGTGAAGTTGGTGCAACTCTTTGCTGCCCCTTCCCGAGTTGGGGCAGGTGTTCTCTTTCCTGGGCAGCGGTCGAAAGCCTGTCCCATCGCCACAGGGGGTGAGCTGGCTTCCTGAAGAGGGCTTGTGTGGTGAGGAGCACAACTGTTGGTTCTTTTGGCTTCCACTGGTGCTGCTGTTGAGGGAGGCAACAGCAGAGCAGTAGTCTCTTGGGGCTGTAGAGAGCAAAGATGCAACTCAAGGTTGTTACTGGATCTTGCAAGAGAACCTCCAAAACCAGCAGTGAGGTGTGTGCCTGTGTTGCTCAACCTGCAGAACAGGCATCTCTTCCTTCCTGACTTTTAATTATTTTTCGTTTTCTTGAAAAAGAGTGTTTTAATGGCATTAAAAAGTCATTGCAAACTGTTGAATAAAAGACCCCCGACTTTTCCCCTTGGACATTTTCCCTCTCCCATATGTCTTCATTTCACCAAATATTTATAAGAAAACAACCCATGACCTGTATGGGGAAGAGTAGAGGGGAACTGTTGTCCTGCACTCCGGCTTTTTCATTTTGGCATTAGTTTTATAACAGGCAAATATTGAGGTCTGCATTTTTTTGATTGAGAACGTTTGGTTTGAGGGTTGTTTTTTTTTTTTTCAAACACGAAAAAGGGATTTTTTTTTTTCCCCAGAGTTTATCTTGCATAATGCAACTTGCCTTCTGTCAGCATGCAGAGCACTTGATTTCAACTGTGTATTTAAAGAAGGTGATGAAAATAAATACTTATGATTATTACTCACTTCTATCATGTACCAGTATTCTTTTATATTAAAAGTGCCTGTTTCTTCCAGTAGCAAGCTAAACTCCGTATGCAACGTGACTTCCAAGAACACTTACTGTCTCTGGGTTCTAGAAAAGTGTGCATGTCACGTTGAATTGTTTTTCTTAATTTCCTAATAGTGGAAAGGTAATTAATAAACCTACTAATTAAAAAGTGATTTTTTTTTTTCTTTCTTGAGATACTTCTGTCAGAACTAATACTTTTTTGTAGGACTTGAGAAATCTGTGAGTGTATGCTGTTCCCAAAGCTGTCACACAGATTAGGATGAGGTCCGTGCTTCACTTCTATATAAAATGGTGATTGCTTTTGATAAACACCCGGCATCAACAATCGCTGAAGTGCTGGTTGCTGCCAAAGAAACTGCTTCAGGAGGTTGAGCCATTAAACATCATTACTAGCACCTGACTAAAACTTTTGCTCAGGTTCCTTCTTGAAAGATGGGTTGGTTTTGTTTTGGGTGGCTAAACAGGAGTCTTCCATGTGAGAATGGTTGTACTCAATCAGTGGAGAGCCTCGTATCATCTTAAATACACTGTAGTATTTTTTCAAAGGGGTAATGCTCAAGCTACAGTTTTAATGTACTTGTGGTGGGATTAGTTTGTAGAAACAATTCAGAGTCTTAGGAACTGAACAGTGCACTCTGCTTTTTTACTGGCCTTTGTTTTGAACATAAGAATTGTCTAAAATCCATATGTTAATTAAATTATTTTGATACTGGCTTTCTTGAGAAAAGCAAGGTGGCATCCAGAAAAGAAAAATCTGCTCCATTTTTAAGAGCTAAAAATAAAATTTGCAAATAAAATTGTCATTGCTGAAGATGAGGGGAATCCTAAATTAGTAAAATTCTTGTCCAGTTATGTATGAAATGCCCGGGGAAGTCTGATATCTGTGGTAGTGTAGCAGAAAGTCTGTTCGTGGCGTCTGCTTTTCTGCTGATCACAGCTGGCATCGGTCTGTGAACCTCTGGCTTAATTCTGTGTATATTGAATGTTCATGTGTTGACTAAATTAGTTTTAAAGCAGATACACAAAGCAGTATGGTGTATTATTCTGCATTAGCCTTTCAGAACACAAGTCCATGCCAAATTTAAGTTCAACAGTTTGTAAACTGAATTAATAGAGAACAGAGTAAAAGAAAGGTTGAATGTTTCTTGTCAAGAGGCAAGAGAGCTATTATTCAGAAGTGGAGCTTGGACTTTGGAGAATAATTGCTCTGATTAAACTTTTGTTAAACAGTTTTCAAAAATCCAAATAATTTCTAAAGGCTTTTCGGAAGAGAAACGTTAGGTAGCAGATTTTTTGAGAAGGGGAGGAAAGATGTTGCATTTGTATCTACTGTAGTATGCGAGTACACTCCTGGAATTTTACTGCTGCTCTTCAAACGAGAGGCAAG